ACACTCATGAAATCCAATTCAATATAAGAAAAAAGTTGAAAAGAAAGAAAAAAAAGGAAATGATTCTTGTAAAAATCTCAAAACCTATTATAAAACTGGGAAAAGGTTATAAAATATTAGTAAATAAATTTATAAATGTATGATGTAGATATAGGTAATCTTAGAGTCATTTATACATATATTTTGAGCTATGTTCTAATATGATGAGATATAATAATTCATATTTATTATGATTTATTAATACAAAAATCAAAGAGAATTTTTTAATTCTTAGTGATAAATAAATATTTATCAATAAATGACTAAAAGAACATATAAGTATAGCTGAATTTATATTACTTGTATAAAGAAAAAAATTGATGAGATTTATAACTTTTATGAGAATTTAAGTAAAAATTCTAGAGATCAATTTTCTTTTCAGTTGTATGATAAGAATAAGAAGAGATGAATTTATAAATTACATAATTAAGATGATTCTAATTTAAGAAAAGAGGTAAATAAGATTAATAACAAATTAAAAAAATTTAATTTACTTATTGACAATATTAGAAAGCATGCTAACTCAATTTAATTTAAATAGTAGTTGTCCTATTTGTGGTAAAAATGATTATTCTGAATTTCAATATCTCATGTTAAATCCATCATTCTAACCTAAGTAAGAGCAAGTGCACGTAGTCCACGATTTTAATACAATTATGGAACCTTTTTTAAAATCTTATAGTCATAATTAGAGTAATAATTTTTTATGGAGATCAAAAAATAAAATTTAAATCTATAGGCATTTAGACCAAATTTAAAATTTGAATTTCGTCAAAAATATAAAAAAAATTAAAAAAATCATCAATCTCAAATCCAACTTGATGCTATAGATATGATGCAGAAAATGAGCTAAATGATATTCAAAATGATGAATCAAATGATGTTGCAATAAAAATAATTTATAAAGGTTTTTTAGAATAAGAGAGAAGAGCGACAATTACTTAGTCAACACATAGAAAATTCAGAACATTACATAACAATAAGATTTCAGCAATGAAATTTTAGTAGTATGAATCTAGAAAAAACCAACGAAATGAAGATGTTAAGATAGTGAAGACATTGAGGAGGTGAAGGATATTACTTGATCCTTATCTCCAATCATTAGACAAAGATAAAAATATGGACAACTTAGAATAAAACTAAATATAAATAGAAGAGGATTTTATATATGTTATCAAAGAAATTTCTAAAGAGAGCACAACCATTTTATTTCCTAAAGCTCTAGAGTCTAGACAAAGAAAGAAAAAGGAACATATTGTAGAATTTTTTTTTTCAAGATAAGTAAATTAATCTTTCTTTACTCACAACTATTGAACATTCTTGAATATATTCAGTTTTGAAGAAAATATGTACACTAAAAATGACACAGAGTAGACAAATTATCTATGCACGCTAATGCTTTATTATAGGTGTAGATTCATCTAAGTTAGTTATTTTTTTATCATAACCTTGCTATAATATCTCTCTCTCACTACTCAGAACTATGAGGGGCACATGAGTTTTTATAATAATGTACCTTTCATTTGGTTGCATATGATAATTTCAATGGAATTAATATCATCAAAGAAGGGAAAGAATAAGAAGATTGATAATGAGTACACTATTTATAAAGTGGGGCAAAAGAGATCGGGATTGAGAGAGAGATAATGAAGATAGAGCATGAGGGGTAAATGATGAGGAGAATGATGATAAATCTCAGCAAGAGAGGAGAAAGGATAAAGGAGAGGACAAAATTGGGAGGTAGAGAGAGAAGGGTTTCACTATAGATGGGATAGTGACTCCAAATTTTGGAATGACCCAGAATTATGTTATCTAAGGCCATATCAGATTTTCAAACAATATATACCAAAAGAAGAATATAAAAGACCACTTAACTATACATACTTTTGTTAGACATTTGGATGTGGAGGTAACTTAGGCAAATAATTACTACCAAAGTTTCACATAGTGGGTTCTATTGACCCATTTTATTCAAAAACTTTGATGAATTCTGAAAAATATTAGATAAATGTTATGCATCAGCTAATGTCTCCAAGTGAGACGCAATGCTCAACTCAATTTTGGTAATATAACTCTATGATATATTGAGAATTGATTTTATAGGTCTCTTCTCATAGTATTTTGAACATAAACATATTCTCTTAGTTGTTGATTATATTTCTAAATGGGTGGAAGTGATATCTATTAGAACTAATGACCATAAAGGATTTATTCAAATTTACATCTTTTTTAGATTCAGTTGCCCACAAACTATCATTAGTGATGAAGGGAAACACTTTACAACTATCTTTTGAATATTTTGAAGAAATATGGAGTGAAACACAAAGTAACTATTCCATATCGTCTTTAATCAAATGGGCAAGGTAAGGTATCAAATAGAAAAATAAAAAGGATCTTAGAAAAGACTATACAACTTGATAGGTGAGGCTGATCTAACATTTAGATGTATAATACTACTTGTAAGAAACTTATAGGTATGTCTCAATTTAGGCTAGTCATTGAGTGATCTTGTCATCTTTTAGTTAAATTAGAACATATGGCATACTAATCTATCAAATAATTGAACATGAATTTAGCATGAGTAAGTCAAAATAAGACCCTATAATTACAAGAGTTAATTGAACATAAAAATGAGGCATGAAAATTCTAAGACTTATAAAGCCAAAACTAAGACATTTCATGATCAATACGTACATCAGATATACTTATCTCTGAATTAGAAAGTATGGCTTTATAACTTTAAACTTCATCTCTTCCTTGAAAAATTAAAATCCAAATGAAATATACCCTATAATGTAGTCCATGCAGAAGAATATGATGTTGTACCTATTGAAAATCTAAAGACATACCAAAACATCAAGGCCAATGGTGAAAGGCCCAAACCTTACTTTGAGCAAGAACCTAGACTTAGAAAAAAGTCCATTCATCTATAGTAATTCAAAAAGAGAAATTACAATGCTGGAGACTCTGAGGTAAGTGCATATTGGGAGGCAATTTTGATTTAATTTTTTTTGGTTTTTAAGATTTGAATAGTTAGTTGGAAGTTGATGCATGATGACTTTTTATCAGCAGTAGTTTACTTTCAGAAAAAATTAACAGCTTTCAAAAATTATGAATTTAGTTACAAATTTTGTATTTCTCTTATGCGCATGTATTGGTCTCAATTTCTTATATTCTAAGATTTAATGGAATTTCTTTTACTATTTTTCCTTATGCATTCAGTACTAACATGCATGTATGATGTCATTGAGGACAATGACATTTTAAGTTGGGGGGTGAGGATGAGAGAAATTATGTACATTTAAAAAAAAATCATATTTTAAAAAAATTCATAGATAATTTTACATTGCATAGTTGCTGAGTAAAGTAGAACAAAAATCATAATGCAGCAAATCCTAATGTAACTATGCATGATGTTGCGAAGTTAAAGTAATAGAAATGACTAAGCCTAACAACTATGTCTAGCTTAGCTGCATGAGGGAATACTGTGTTAGGATACTCTTAGGGTACATGATAAGTTATATGGATTGAACCTCACAGAATTATATTTCAACACTTAGCTTTCATTATCCACTTACTAGGAGAGAATCTTGTTGAAAACTTTAGTTTGACTAAAGTCATAGAAATTTAGTCAAAAGATTGTGAGGAGAAGAGCATCAAATCTTCACATATACCTACATATAGGCCGTATGCCATAGTAGAATGAAAGGCCCAACTATAACATAGATACAGGGTTTCTCACTTGTTCTGTGGAGGCTATCCACACACCCAATTAGGAGCAGTAAAACATTCTCAAGGAAAAGCTATATGCATGTGTAGTGAATAAGTGGAAGAAATCTCACATGTTTATGCTAAATTTATTGTGTAGTCAATAAGGGGTGAAATGAAATCCTCAAGTCACATGCTCAAAGAGTATTTAGACACAAATTCTAATTCACTTGCAATATCTAGTAAGGAAATTTACAGCATCCAAAGGTGACGGCAGTGGCAGCTAGTAAGGAATATCTAGCACCCATATTATGTGATACGCAGATGAGCCAAGTAAGGCGGCAGTGACAATCATGGTGACGGCGACAGCGGCGATTGCGAGTAGCTGTCTCGTGTGACTGGCAGAAAGGGTCGAATTGAGTAGCGGTTGTCCCCTCTTATGCTTGGCGACAAGCAGCCAATCTGCTGGTGATACTTTCAGATTTTGCTTCAGATCATTTCTATATGTAATTTCATGCATTTACCCTATGCATGGGCGACAAGCACCCATGCATTTATCCTATGAATTTTGTTGTTCTCTGTTAAATTTAATGACTTATGATTCTAGAATTCCTCAAACCCTAACGTGTCATTTGTGGTTACCCTAAAGTTTGGTTATGTAAAGAACACATTTTTAATCTTGACTCTCACATCTAGTGGCCTCTGTGTATAGTGACCTCGGGAAACGGTGACCGCGGAAGCTGTGTTCGTGAGAAACGGCAACTGGCCGTTTACCGCTCCGTTGCCTTGAACCGGTTGGGCCGTTTTAAGCTAGTTCACCCGGCCATTTCACCCCCTGCGCCCATAATTTACTGCGGCCCTTGTGGCCTAATTTAATGCAGCATTAATGGACCATGTGAAAAGACGAGGCATAATCCTCCTCCACATACCACACAGGAGGTGCCAAAAGGAGTCGGGAAGTATCCCTGCAGGGGGGCCCTCCAGCGCATTAGAGCTCTAGCCCCGCGGGCTATTTTACACTGTTTTGACTGCGGCGCGCAGAGAGAACACTAGAATGCCGTCGTTTACCGGGTTATTTTTACATTATTTTACGACCTCTTTTCAGACCACGCGCGAGCTGCCTGGGCTCCCATATTCCCCTATCTACGGATCTCTCGCTCTATCTGTTTGCGCCTGTCCTTTCAGCGGAGTCTCGGCCTTCTCCCTCGCCTCCCTGTCGCGCCCTTTCCCTCCGATTAGCCCAGTTGGCGGCCATGGTGCCAGTGTTCTCTGTGCTGGGACTGGTGCTTGCGTGCTCATGGTCTTCAGGGCTTCAGACGGTATCCGGGAGAACGTTCGTCACTCACTTGCCGGGATTTCATGGTCCCCTCCCCTTCGAAATGGAAACAGGGTTGGCCATCCTTCTCCTCCTCATCCGCCCTCTTCCTCTTCCTGCGCGTTCGCGGCGAATTATGAGTTGAAAGAGTCCCGGATGTCAGGTACATTGCAGTGGACGATTTGGAGGAGGTGAACCTGTTCTACTACTTCGTCAAGTCGGACAGGAACCCAGCGGAGGATCCCCTCATGTTGTGGATCACCGGTGGACCCGGCTGCACAGGGTTGAGCGGGTTAGCATATGAAATCGGTAAGGTGCTCTCTTGGTTAGGGAGTCGAGCCTCCACTAGATCTGGGTTTTGCACCTCGCTAGTCGTGGTCCATTCAATGGCCCGCTGAAGAGGCTTTTCTGGATTCTTTCTCAAAACGTTGATGACCTATTGATTTCGGTGCCCTTGGCGTACCTCACGCGTTTCATCGGAACACCTTCCGGCATTAGACAGCAGGGTGGTCGTGCAGTCGTAGACGGGTTCACAAGAGATTATGAGTGATTATGCTGAACTCTGGTGCTGTGCAGGCCCCCTCGCTTTCGATATAGAGAATTACGAGGAAGGAAGGATGCCCCGTTTGGTCCACCGAGAGGAGTCTTGGACAAGGGTACACTCAGCTCTTCTCTGTCTTTCTCTGATCCGTCTCTCTATCCTAACCTCTTCTTGTGACTTTTTTCCGATAGGTCAGCAGCGTCGTCTTTGTGGATTCGCCCGTGGGAGTTGGATTCTCGTATTCCACGGCCGCGGAGGAAAATGAATGGTCGGACACAAGCGCAACAAGGCGTCTTCGCGCATTCATTAGGAAGGTAATGCCATATGTTCACAGAATCACACCCAGACGGGGATTTCCATCTTTCTATGTTTTGACCCTCCTCCGTTCGGACTTCCGGTTATGTAGTGGCTTGTGGATCACCCGGAGTTCATCTCGAATCCCTTCTACGTTTGTGGCGACTCGTAAGGTGGGAAGATGGCGCCCCTCGTCACCCAGACGATAATAAATGGTAGCGATGTTTTCACTTGGTTTTTTTCTTGGTTTGGGCCTCGATATCATGTTCAAAGAGGAAACTGAGCAGGGTTTGACGGGGGCCACCTCCTTATCTGACGCACATCTGGGATGTTAAGGGGTGCTGGTCGAAAGCCCAGCCTATTTTCGGTGCCCTGAAGACGTCCCGCGGTCATCACCTGTGGCCACTGCTTTCCGCTCGTGGCATTCCCTGCTTTATTTCCTTTTCTTTTGTCGACGGATTTCCTCCAACTCGCGATCGGGAAACTTTCATTTTCCGCCTAAGTACCTTTCTCTTAAGTCACTGAAGTCAAACCATTCTTCAGGAAACGAGGCAGGAGTGAAGCCCCTCATCAATCTCAAGGTGGGCCGAGTGAGAGAAGCCAAGTTGTCTACAACAGGCACCTACCATCCTCGTATAACTCTCATGTTTTTCTCATGACTTATGTGGTGTGAGCTTTATAGGGGTATTCAGCTGGAAACCCAGTGACCACTGAGAAACGTTTTGATGATGGGACGAAGATTCCATATTCTCATGGGATGGGGCTTATATCCGATGAGCTGTATGAGGTGGGTCAGTCTTATCCTATTTCTCACTTCGATTAACTTTGCTTTTATTTGAGAGGGGCCAGTGGCCGGCTTGTGCTTGGCAATTATCTGGGCGATTTGAGCCCAGATTCAGCTGACAAGTGCGCTTCTCAGTGGATCCCTCCGAGAATCCAAGACCCAAATAGAAGGCAGGCTGGTTGGGCCTATTTTTATTTCTTAGATTTAGTTTTGAGCCCCTCGGATAGAAATAGCCATTTAGCCTCAGCTTGTTCGGCCCATTGCATTCAGTTCCCTACTGTAACGTGTAGATAGTGTTATGTTTCCTCATATTTTAATGGAATCTCTTAAACTTCCTATTAAATTCTTGTGTTTTTGCTAAATTTATAGGAGACAAAGGAAAGCTGCGGTGGGGATTATGTTAATCCTCGCAATACTAAATGCATTGAGTGTCTCAATGCTGTATATAAGGTGTGGGGCCCTTTGACTGTGAGTTTGATGAACTTCAGTAAAGCTCTTCTGACTGTGAAAATTTTCCAAAGTCCAGAACTGGGAGAGACTTGAAATACAATTTACTCTGGGAGTTTATTGTGACTTGAAATCTCCAAAACCTAAACAGTCTGCCGCAGAGGACAGATATTTGATTGACCTTGAGAGAAATCATCTCTATTCGCCTCAGATCATAAATAAAGAATGCAGGGTAACTCTCCTCTGTCTGTATCTCTGTGTGGCTCTCACTCTTTCCTAAGTATTTATCTAGTCTTTAACTGATGCATTCATTTTCACAGGAATATAAATTTTTGGCGATCAAATCTTGGGTGGGCAATGATGCAGTGAGAGAAGCTCTTGGAGTACGCAAGGTATGGACTCTCACTGTGGGAGGGGGAGTGGCCAAACCGAAACCCCAAGATTGATGGCTGTAAGCTGCTCTGTAGGGATCGATCGGTGAATGGAATAGATGCCAAAAGTATATCAAGGCTAACTACGGGTTTGATGTTCCCAGTTCAGTTCCATATCATCTCAATGTTACTAGCAAGGGCTTTCGATCTCTAGTGTACAGGTGAGAACATCTACTGCCAGTGGACTCATTTCCATGATGACACACATGGATGTGTGAACAATTGGATGGAGACACATATCTTCATATGTTTACAAATATCTTTAACGAACTGGGTACAAAAAAGCTGATCATCAGAAATCTTGCATCTTCTCCAAACTAGTGGTGACCACGATCTGGAGATAAATTTTATGGGGACTCAAGCATGGATAAGATCTTTCAATTTCTCTATTGTTGACGACTGGCGGCATTGGTTGGTAAACGGCCAAGTTGCAGGGTTTGTACCTGAACTAAGGCTTATCTTTCCTTTGCTTCTTCAGAAGATCTCTCCTGAGCTTGATTACTCACTGTTCTGATCTGAATCATTTTAGATATACGAGGGCTTATGCAAACAACTTGACATTTGCAACAGTTAAGGTGAGAAGTCCCCTCGTTATCTTTTTCTTTCTACGAGTATCATGTGAATATGACGGAGGTCTCAATTAGCCTCTGCCGCTACGTTTTGTGTGTGCTTTTGTAAGTGCTTTCCCTTTTCTCAGGGTGCGGGTCATGTAGTTACTGAGTACAAGCGCAAAGAAACTTGGGCCATGTTCGAACGATGGATTGCAGGGCAGGCTTTGTGACACCAAGCTTTGTGCCATTTTGCCTTTGCACTGCCACAAGCTTAGGTAATAATTCAATAATGTATTGGTTCCTTCTTAGAAAGGGTCGTCGACCTTGTAGGTAAATTTGAGATGCATGAATAAGTTGATTGCATGGTCCACAAGCTTTGGGGACCACGCTCCCAAGTTTTTTTTTTTTCTTTGAACAGACATTGGCCGCATTTCACCTAGTGGAGTGTTTTATTCAGTTTTCATTATTTTTTTAGTGAGCATAAGCCAATGATGTAATAAACATCATGGGCCCTCAGAGAGACAGAGAGCGACAGTGGGAGCTTTGAGCTTGCCATACAAGCTCTGAGAGAGAAAGCGTCAGAGAGAGAGAAGGGGAGAGAGAGAGAGGGAGAGAGAGAGAGAGAGAGAGAGAGAGAGAGAGAGAGAGAGAGAGAGAACTTTTCTTCCCATTTAACCTGCATTTGGTAGGTGGCCTTTAGGTTTCTGTTTTCACTTTTAATGAGCCAGCTTTACTCTAGAGTGCGCCAAATATCAGTGATTACAAGAAATAGTAGACGAGGCCTTTCTTTATTCTCACACAAATAAGAATCTAGTGTTGACCTCTTGGTTATGAGAGATAAAAAAATGATATTTTAGTCGATTATGACTCAATAGTGAGGTGTCACCTCTTGGTTCAACACGATGTGTCATTTAATGGTCATGACCCTTTTAAATAGACAAGACGTGGTTTTTCTTTTAGTTTTCTTTTCTAATTTTGTCTATCATAAAGTTAGATTAAGACTTAGTCTCTATCCATAATTATATCTATACCTATATACGTGATTTAATCCCAGATATTTAATCATTAGTGAATCACTTTAATTAAATTAATCTTAATGATAACTCATAATATACATATGATATATATATGTATGCCCACATATAAATTAAATTCAACAATCATCTTCAGGGAGAACATATATGTATAATCCTTTGATATTGTATATTATGATCTTATGAACTCAATACATATACTATCAATATCAAAAGTATTTTCAACAATTTTTTCTATCCCTATGATAATATAAGATTAATAGGCTTTTGTTATATTTTTACATTATTAAACCTAACAATAATCATGTATATTGATATAATAAATTAACCAAGTATGAGTGTGTATCATGAAAATTACATTAAGTGTGATTAATACATATAGATTTTCAACTTGTTCACCTTATTTTGTAAGATGATCAACCAAATAAATTAAGAGAAGAAAATAACTATAAACCTTATTCTTATAAAAAAGAGCCATAATATATGACTATAATCATAAGAGCATCAAAATAACAGCTCTCACCGAAATTACATACCTTTGGTAATAGTCTCTTAATAAGTGGATATACAATAAGTGGATCTTAATAAGTTAAATTACTTAAGTATATGCTTACTATTCCAATAATGTATGTAATATTTTGGCGCATACATGCTTAATCATACATAAGACTCTTAATAGTTGATATATAAAGATATCTTGTATCCTTTTAACCTCATAATCAGTTTTAAAACACTAATTGAGACTAACCTTATCTCCTTTAATGATAGAGTACCACCTGGTTTACAACCTTACATGTAAAACCTTTTAATGGCTTTTTTTTTATCTCTTTTATCAAAACTCAAAGTTATTTTGAGAGTAATCTTGGGTATGAAGACCCCATCACACAATTTGGATGGTGATGTATTTCTAGTCATTATAATAAGAACACTCTATTTTAGTATTTAGGTATATAGTTCTTTATTATTATTATTATTATTATTAATCCAACCTCTAATTATACTTTAATATAAATAGTGAGTTAGGTTATCTCCTTAGGGATGGTACTATTAGAGTAAGTACTCTCATATTCTTCTAAGAAGAAAAGATTTTAGGTTATTGATTCTATGATATGAACATATTAAAATTATAAAAGAGATTAGTATATAAAAAATATTATAATTCTTAAAGTAAATTAAAATTAATGTCATAAAATAAAATCAAATAATTGAGTATTTATTTTTTCTCCTTGTGTCACGACAAGGAGAAGAAGAGAGAGGGAAAAGAGAATGTGAATAATCAAGAAGTAAACTATATTCAATGTAATTAGAAAAAGAATTAAAGTTAACACAAGTATAAAATTCAATCTTATAAGAGAAGAAACACATCCCCTCTATTTATGGGCACCAGTCAACACTCTTAAGGGAGAATCATTACACCTTCTGAAGACTCTCCTCATAAAGAGTGAGAGGTTGCAACCGCCGTACCTTATAGAGACTCTCTTGATGAGTAGTAAGAGGTTGTAACTGTCAGATCTTTTTGAAACTTCTCTCATGGAGAGTGAGAGGATAGACTTGACAATCATTTAGTCCTCGGGCTGTCCGTAGTCAACCATAAGATTGACCACCTGTTATTCTTATCCTCGCGCAATTTTATTGTTTATAATCCTTGTGGACTGCAATTGACCAGATAAGGAGCTGGAAAAGGCTTTGACCTGACTCATTAGAGGGCAAGATGCTATTCATAAATTGCAGAGAGAGAGAGAGAGAGAGAGAGAGAGAGAGAGAGAGAGAGAGCCAACATGGTTGGAAGGGTCGGCAGCCCATAGTCCAATTAAAGGCGGTCTATTTATTATCCAGTTTCCCGGACCACCAGGGACTAAAAAAAATGAACTTTGGTCGTAACGCCCGAACTTTGGTTGTCCATTCTTTTAAAATAAACACCATACATTATATGTATTTCACATAATATCTACTTTATTCTATTCGAAATCTATGTAACGGAACCCTGCCTTTGCACGCACGCGGATATAACTAAACCGAATTTACTTGTAATTTTTAGGTATAATATCTAAACTGGGTCCCCGAATTTTCAAAAAAAAAAAAACCGTACATGATAAAAATATTGAAAATATTTATGTCTTAAGAAATTTACTTTATCCGATGTCACGTCGATGGGAGCAGACTTAGCTCCTCCCCGGGTGTGAAAAACCTGCATGATCAGATACGACGGGCCATGATGCCCATCCCAAATGGGGACCGGGGCATGAGAAGTAGGATCCATAAATGAAAGCCCAATAGAATGCCTGGCCCATTGGCGTATGGCCAATACATAAGCACGTGAGAGATCTCCAGACCGGGGATTAGGAAGGGAGTTGACCGAATTTTAACCAAATTTCACATAGTATAACCCATGAAGAACTAAATAAAAATTTATAAAGACGTGTGAAAATTTTCAAAATAAAATAATTTATTTTTTATGATATTTCCAACCGGCGTAGAATTTCAGTGGATTTGAGTTTCTTGAAGAACAGGCAGGCGGAGGAGGTATAATCAACTGACCCATGTTTCTGCCGGGGATGAAAAGGAAGCGAATGCAGTGAATAGGTTTGGCGAGACCAGATCTTAAAGCCCTGGCGCATATTTAATCAGCTCACCTAACCCAGATGGAGTTATATAATCAACTCTATAGGTCTTAGACCTCCCTAAACCCTAGACGCACCCAGAAACCCACCAAAACTCCCTGTCCTCATGGGAATATTCCACCACAATGCCGGCTTGAAGGTTATCTCCAGCTCGTGTGGCGGTCGGCCGAGATTTAACTGATCCACCTCGTGCCCTCCATGCACGTGCATGGGAGAGGGGGGATGGTGGCGGCATGGTGGGGAGGACTTGTTTAAGTTCATAGAATCCGCGCCTGAGGATCAGCCAGTTTTCTCCGGTACGCCTAGCGTAGCGTGGCTGGTCGGCATCTCCACGGTGGCCTCACTTCCTTGGAATCCGTAGTTTAACCCAGTTGGGAAAGAAGCTGCTCCTACTTGGGTTCCTCGATCTCGCCGGGGGGCTGGCCTCTCTTTGGGTCTACCCTTGGTGCCATCACCTGTTTGACGGGCATCTCTTAGAAGGCTCTGGCGGGCTGACTCCCACTCGGCTGTCCCTCCTGACGTTGAGGACGGCGTCATCCCGGGACAAACCCGTTGGCGTCTTCCTGCATGCATATATTGGTCCAGAGGCTTCAGCTTGCTCAAAGTTTTAACGTATGTGGGCGAGAAGAATACAGTTTTGTTGAGATATATCGCCGTCTTGTTAAGTGGATGCGGAGAAGGTCGGGAAGAGTAAACAAAACAAAGGAGCTGAGTGGGAGTTGGGGGGGGGGAGGGGGGGAGGGGGGGACAAACATGTGCATGGGGGAGGGGGGGGGAGGACAAACATGTGCATGGGGGAGGGAGGAGCGTCTCTGGGGACGAGGAATCCCTAGGGGCGGGGCTCAACGTGCCCTCTTGGGAACACAAGGATAGGAGGGGGGCGCTTCGGCGCCGGAGAGGAAGAAGGAAAACGCCAAGACGAGTAGTTGCTCGTCGTTCTTGGTGAAATTTGGAGATCCCCGAGAGGACCGGCCCCTGCCATCCTCCACCCCCCCTCCCGAGAGCCCTTTCTTTAGTACTAAACTTGCTTCGTTGTCCGAGAGGGCACACGGAGACCCACATAGATGCTCCGCGGCTGAACATGTGAGAAACAGAAATTAAATCCTCGTTGAACGCCGAGGCCCCGACCTTGACCAAGAGAGGGAAAGGAACAAGAAGCCTACGGGCTAGGCCTGGAAGGCGAGTGGTCCTTCCTCTCTATGATATTTATCCTTGGAATTTGCCCCCTCCCTAAGTGGGCCTCTATATGGGGGGAGATGGACGATGACCCAGTGGAGCAGCGCCCCTCGCCCCCTTCCTCGAGACGAGACTATCTCGTCTAAAGACGCCGTCTTCCTGGCGACGCATCCCCCAATGGGGCACGCGGACAAGGGAGCTCTCTTGTCGAAACCCTTCCTTGTCTTCGAAGCCTCTTCTCTCTTCTTCTCGTGTCCAAGCCTCGAAACTCCAACGCCAGCGGAAGGCCCTCGCCGGCGGCGAGTTAATAGACTCGTAATCATGTCGTCACCTCCGGCACGTGACCCTAATGATCCCGGCCACCATATCTTCAGAGAGCGGGCGCCCAACTGCCCCCCC